ACTTGGCAGAATAGCCTTGAATGTCTGAGATGTAAGAGGAGCCATCTGGTGGGCATTATGGCTACCTTGATGTTTTTGTTAATTTTTTTTATCCTTTACACACATGGGTTCATCCAGTTGTGTTTGGCAAAAGATCATGTAAAACTGATATCAGTACTTTCATATGGAATATGATAATATCCAAAAGGTTGAAACCAATATAGGAAAAACTGCAAATGAAAGAAAACAGCATCAGAAAGGGAATAGGGAAGTATTCCACTGAAAGAAGATGCTAAAGGCACTTTGTGTCTAGTATTAAAACAGAAAACTCTTTAATACCCATAAGTTTTTAATAGTAACTCTTGGTGAAATCCTGGCCCCACCAAAGTCAATGGGAGTTATTCCACTGAGTTCAGTGGGTCACAATTTCACCTTCTCAGTAGAGCATTGATCATTGTTTAAAACAAAACAAACAATCCTTTAAAAGGAAAACTTTACAACTTTATCATAGAGAATAATTGCACTCAGAGTAGCAGCAAACATTGCGTCATACTTACTTCTTAACTCTTTCAACTTATTAACCACAGGTATAGACTGTTTAAACCAGATGATTTAATTAGTCAGTTATTTTGATGTGTTAACATGTGTGGAGGGGAGGGGTAGGGAGGGAAGTACTCTGTTCTCAGAAGTATCAAAAGTTCCTCATTTGAGCATGCAAATGAATAGCATGTCTAGTGTTTACGTCCATATTTGACCAAATGGAACTACTGTATTATGTTTATCACTCATTGTTTTATGCTAATTTTTCCCCATCTCTACAGCTGTAATGCAGCTATTGTAGATAACATTTGTATATACCTGCCAGAGTAAGAAGAGTAAATCCTGTAAAATTCTAATGTTTAAAAGTTAAACTAATACATAGGCCACTTTTTTTGTAAGAAAATATCTAAATATTGCTATTCATACACTTGAATGGGCTTTTAGAGAGTGATAAGTGTGACTCATGGAGATTAGTGTACTTGTGGGTTTGTCTCCTTGAGAGTAAATATTCATATATTTTAATCACACACACAGTAATACTTTGGTTTATATAGAACTAATGAAAGTAAATCCCCGGTTTAGTGTCTATTTTAATAAAACATCATTAACAGTTTTGATGTATTCCCTTCTCAACCCATTAGTTTGATTACAATTCATGATTGCATGCTGTGGGCAACAGTGAAAATCTGTTCAAATATGATTTCTAGTCCCTCTCTGTGTGAGCCCAATCTTGTAAAATGATTAGCAAAAGGGATTTGAGGGTGCTTCACACCTTTCTTTAAACAAATAAAAAGCCCAAAGTTAAATGCCAATAAGAATTCTTAATTCTTTTACTATCTTGTACTTTGGTAGGCTGAGATGACACATGACAAACAAAATGAAGTGGATGGTATGACTTACATTAAGTGCAGAATATTGCAAAAGGGTAGCATTGTGCTCTGGTTATTTTAACCTCCCATCCTGCTAAGGGAAATACAGTGAGCTCTGTTCAGAGGAATTTAATTGATGGGCATAATGCATTGTAAACCTGAAATGAGAGACTTACTCTTATCTTTTATTAAAGAAAGGATAGCCTGTCTTTAAAAGCCAATGTTTATTTCAGGTCATTAAGGTTGAGGCCTTCTGGAAATTTGTTTCTAAATTGGGGTCACCTAACACTGCAGTTCATGTACACTGAAGTAGCATTCTTTGTTGTTGGTGGTGAAACTTTCCTGCAAGTGGGAAGTAAGCTGCTTCCTGAATCTTACTGAATGCTGAGGATTTATGGTATCTGTTGTTGAAAAGCCCTGGCTGCACATAAGTTAGGTGTATAAGAGTTTGAAAAGTGGAAATAACAAACTTAGTTTTTGTGAATTATTTATATGAATTAAAATATTTTAATTATTTATTCAACATGAAATTCAAGTGATTATAGCTTTAAGAAGTGCTAAGAGTTGAGACACTTCTTACCATCAGATTGCTTTAACCTGAATGACCTTAAAGTGAGTAATTTAGAGCCATTCACTGAACTTCTAAAATGCAAAGTCTAGGGGTCCATTCCCTCAAAAGCCTACCATTGGCCATACTGCTTACAACTGTGAGTAGTCCTATTGAAATCACTGCACTGAAATCAGCAGGACTACTCACAGGAGTAAGCACTATGGCTGGTAGTAAATGCTGGCAAAACTAGGGCCTTCAACTTAGCATTCAGAAGTACAATCATTGTACTGAGATCACTAGGAGTACTCTCGGGAATAATCATGATACCCAGTTTGAAACGGCAGCTACTTAAACATTTTCTTCCGTAAAATTGGTTGGCTGTTAGTGCCATTTATGTATGAATACATCCCAACTAAATTCAATGTCCAGTTACGTGTAGGGAAACAGAGGTAAAAAATACTTTCTTTTTTTGCCCCCCTAGACCCATCTGTCCTGCAAGGCTAAATACATCTTTGCTTACAATAATCTTTAAGAGGACAATAAATCCTTAAAAAAAGCAAACATCACAGGACTGTAGAATTAGCTCAGAAGCATATGAATTGGGTACTTTTTCTTGTGTGTGTGTTTCTTTTTGAGACAATAAAGTGATTATAATTTACTTCCTCATTTTTCCTTTAGCATTAATTCCCATTTAGTATTACTGAAAAGAAGACTATTTAATAACTAATCTCAGTGTTCCAGAAATAGCAGTAAAAATCCTGTTTCTCTAAGGTTCACCTCAGGTTCAGTAATTAACTGCTTTGTCAGACTTGTTATATTCTGTCACAGATTTGCACGTGTTTCATATTTATTTGCCACAGACTTGGGTGCTTGTTCACATCAAGGAGAAGCCACATTAGCCAGAGTATTAACATACATACTGTGGCTAACATCAGATGCTTGAGGCCTGTTCATCCTTGTAGGATGAATGTATGGAAGAACACTTCCTCATCCCCCTTCTCCCAAACCTCTGATGAGAGACAGTGATGGGCCACTCAGGAGCCTACCAATTCAATCCCCTATATACACCAATCAAAAAGTGGCCCAGTACTCATGCTGAAAGGTTAGACTGGCCTGTGGTGAAGCCTCATTTGGCCCACACTGACTTTTCTGTAATCCATGGAAGAAATGACCTACTTCTTGGTTTCTCAGAAGCACTAGGGTAAGGGAGGTTGCACAGCATCAATGACATGGAGGGGGAGATTTTCACAAGTGCTCAAATAAATGACTTTCATTTGAGGCACTGAGGACCCTGGCACTTTTGAACATGAGATGTTCTAAGTCACTTAAGTGCTTTTTGAAAATTGTACCTAACAATTGGTCTACTTTACACAATTGTTCCAACCCTCCAGCAGGACTGTTTACCAGGGAGAGTAGGCCTAAAAAATAGCTAATCCTGCATGTACTGAAAAGGGGATCTGAAAGGTACCTTGTAAGACTCAGTCCGATGGAGTCCACCCCTAAGCCATTGTTGTACTTGTGACCATCACGTGCCCTTTCAGCGACATCAGCTCTGCACACAAAGAAATTCAGTGGTTAAGAGGAACCGCTTCTAAGAGCCCTTGGTGTGAGAGAGCTGACACAACATCTGCCGTAGGATGGAGGCCAGAGGCAAAATTCATATGCCTGCTTTTATAGTCACCGGAAAGATGGGCCAGCTATTTTAGAGGCTGATTTGCCCCTTGTCTCCATGGGAACTTCTTGTTGGGGCTGGCAGGCCATGATGTACCACTGTGGCTTTGCTCCCTTTACCCAGGTTTACCTTGGCTGTCGGGGAAATGCCTTGCTTTTTCTGGCTTCATTGCCCCAGTCAACTATGGCACATAGTGGCCTTGCCATGAAGCTGGTGGAAAAACACAGTAAACCATTGTTCTCTTTATGCCTTTCTCTACTGTCTTGAGCAAACCTGGCCTGTCTTCAGGATTAGACCAAACCATCCTTGAAGTCTAATTATATTACATCAAAGTGTTGTGTATCTTCAGACATAGGAAACTGACAATGGTGATTTTTATTGTATAGATGTGATTGTGGAAGTAGGAACTCACAAACTGGCATTGGTTAAAGATTTGTAGGGTTTTTTTATTACTGGATGGATTCAGTTTTAAATAAATCTAGTATTAAATAAGTGCAATTAGTGGTGTAAGATAGATAGCAAGATTTAAGTCTTGACTAACCTCAGTAGAAGCTATAGTTATAGTTATTGTTGTCTGACCCATGATATGGAAAGTATTAGGAAACGGAGAATTTGTTTTAGGAATGAATACTTTTTCATCCTCCCTTTCATTTCTTTTATGTCCGTCCTGATAACATAATATCAGATTTGAGGGGGAGGCGTCAGGGCTCAGACATGTGACTAGCATGTGACTATTGCTAATGTTTTTACTCTTCCTGCTATATTTTATTGGTTTACTTTTATAAAATTGTAATGCTTTTGAAGCTTTCCTCTTTCTCACATTTAATTCTGCATAATCTTGATGCTATTAAAGAATAACTTCCATGTGTATCATTCGTGGGCCGAAATCCCAAAACTGAGTGTCTGAAGTTAGAAGTCTAAATCCATATTTAGGCTTCTAAATATGAGTAGTCAGATTTTCTGGGGGTGATGAGCACACACAACCCTGTTGTAGCAAATAAGAACTGTGGAAGCTTGGAATCTTTGAAAATGAAGCCATTTATCTTTAGGTGCCTAAATGTGGATTTAAGAGCCTAACTTTAGGCATGCAAATTTTGGCCTAGAGCTTTTAAGCATTTGAGTAAATTCTTAAAAATGATGTAATTTTTGCTTCTATTTCTGTACAGATTGAATACTTGCTTAAAAAACTCACTGAAGCAATGGGGGCAGGCTCACATCAAGAACAGTTTGAACATAATAAGAACAGCCTCGGTGCCAATCAAGGTCTTTCTGCATGGGAATTGATTGAGCTTATTGGAAGTGGACAGTTTAGCAAAGGGATGGACCGACAGACTAATATCAATGGCAGTTAATGAGGTCTTTAATGAGCTCATATTAGACGTACTGAAACAGGTAAGAATTGCATGGAATGAATGTTTGAAAATAGTAGGATGTATGAGTTATTGGATGAGATCATTTGCCCATGAATTCTGCTGCCATGAATAACAGTTTCTTTAGCTGATGGCAGCGAACAAGCTCGAGGGGTCTCCTTAGCGCTCTGAGAGTTGGTTTCTGTTAAGAGTTTGTGAATGTGGTTTATTTTTAAAAGAATATATTTTGTAAAAGGGAAGCTGCGCTATGTAAAAAGATCTATTTAACCTTTCTAGTAATGCAAAGGAGATACTTGTCCTTGGTGAGTTGTACTTAGGAACTGAAGGAAAAGTGGCCCTTCTGTTTCTGACTTAAAATAGGACCTCTCTTTATACCAATAATTCATTAGCTAATCGAATAGCTGCAAAATCTTATTTATTAATTCCTGAATTTGTGGTAAGTCTTTAATATGTTAAATATATATCTATATCTATATCATATAAGTATTAATATATTAACATTTGCAGTTGATTTATAGAAAAAAGCTCTGATAGGTATATATCAGTCTAACTGTGCCCACACAAGGGCGATGCACCGATTTAACTGTATCTGTTTCTAAATTGATACAGTTAAAACAGCATAAAAATTGTGTAGAAAATGCTATTTAACTCTGCATAGCAGACTATGGATCATTAGTGATTTACTAAGCTAAAGTCAAAGCTAAAAAGTAATGGTTTTATCTTAAAATTCATAGAATATTTCTGTCAACCTTCTTCTCGTTTGGAGTTGCCGTAGAGGGAATGATTACCATTTGGTCAGGGGACTCCTCAGTTGTTCTAGATATTTCAGAAAGTCCCAGAATGGCTTTAAAGGACTGTATATTTTTAATAGGAAAAATAAATCCTTAAAACCCCAGTGAAGTGTTTTTATTCAGGCAAACTGCACTTACCTAGGGTTCTAATTCACACTCATATGTACTTTATGGGGAACTGTTAGTGGTCTTTGATTGTTTCTCCTTATGAAGAAAGCAAGCAAAGGCTTTTTTGGCAGCCCTTCCAAATCCATTCAGAAGAAGTTATCAGAAAATCTTGGCACAGGAAGTTCTTTCAAAATAGCCAAAGAACAATGCAAAACATCTGTTTTTGTTAACTCCTTATTGCTCGTTGGCGGGATGAACAGTTGAGGACAAAATTTAAGCCATTCTGTTAATACCATTGAACATCATAATTGGCGTCAGCTCAGTCCATCCACTTGATGTTTGAAAGGAAATGTCTTGATTTCTTTAGATGTTTCAAATGCTTTCTGTGTGATGCTGTGTTGCCTCTCATAAAAGGATTGCTGCAGTGTCTTGACTGTCTCTTCTTTTGGTGACTGTGACTTTGTTCGGGGATGTCTCCTTGCTTCTAAAAAGACTTTTTAAAAAGTTTGTTACGACCTGACCTCTTCCCCTTCTGGACAATCACCAGTCTGTTGGAAAATCACACTTTAATTCAGATATAACTAGTATTGATGGAATTATTTTTTGTGTGTGTGCAAATTTAACAATATTGATTTTTATTTTTAATGTTGTTGTGTGCAAATATTAACTTTTTATTTTTACAGTTGTGGGAAAGTAAGGGTGAGGTAGGGCTGAGGTTACGGTTGGGGCACCGAGGACAGCAGGACTGCAGGGTGCTCCAAGCAGCCCAAGAGACCTGGGTGGAAGGTGGTGGTCCTGGCCCAGTGGAGCATAGACCCCCAGCCAGGGCTGCAAGGAGGAAGACAAATCCCCAACTGAGCGGGAGGCCATCCTGCTGCTGAACAATTACTGCCCACACACTCCTGGCTGGTGAGTGAGTGAGAGCCCCCAGCCATGGGGGAAGCCACCCCACTGCTGAATGGCTCGTACTTGGCAGGATGGCAACAGGACGACCAAAACAAAAAACAAAGCACATAAGAGTTGGGGAAAATGAGATTACAGAAATTAGCAGGGGAAACGGGGGAAGCTGTAGTATCCAAAATAACTTTTTAAACTAGTAGGGTTTTTTTTGTTTTTGGTTTTTTTTTTTTAAATTGACTAGCCAGTAAATTCAAATGTCTGATAGAACATTCAATCATTTACATCTTTCAACATGCATTCTCTTTCCTGTGGAACATCCTTTTGACTAGCTGTAACCACACTGGATAAAACACACTAGGTGGGTGCTTCTGTTAAAATTATTGTTTAATGCAGTAGTTAATATATCTAATTATGTTTTCATCATTAGATTTCAGTGTTAACAGCTAATTGAGATGAATGGGGGCACACGACTTTGCATGGAGCCAAATTCTCCTCCCTAGTGCAGGAGTAAATAGGGTTTATATGGAGGACTAATAGAAAACTGAGAGGGATGGAATTCTCCCCATAACCTGTGAAGAATGCACCATGGAGCTGTGTAACTATCTCATGGCCGCTGCTGCTGCCTCATGTTTATGGTGTTCTTGGGCAATAGGGAGCTTGAATTGGTCTTTCCCATTTGCTAACAGCAGTATTATAAAAAAATAATGTCTTTGATACCATAAGTGTACCTGGTGTGTTAATTATGCATTACTGAAGTTTAGGGGAAGACTACACTATATTCTTCACTCACCCTATACTTGGGTACATTTGGAACTGATAAGAGAGGGAAATGATGGCCCAGAATAAACATAGTTTGTTATGGGTGAAAGCCAACTATGGTTAATCCTTTCTGTGTGGAGGTGAAATGTAGATGCTTAGGATCTTGGGGCCAGTCTGTTGGACTCCACCACCAAAGATATGTAGCTAGAACAATTGTAGTTTTACATCTTTGACATTTTAATATTTCCTCTGTGTGAAATACAAGCTCTGTTTTGGACTGGGTACTTATAGACCTCCTTCCCCCACAGAAAAGAAAAGGGAAGTGATCCTGATCTCATTCTGCTTCAAAGCAAAGAGAAATGTGATATTTCTTTTATTCTATCAATTTTATTTATTTTCCACATGAACTGAACACAGTTTAAGCAAAGAACTATCTCCACATCCCCTGGCTCCTCCTCCTCCTCCTCCTCACCAAGAGACAAAAGATATAAATACATTTCCAAAAAAGTTAACTAGCTATCTAGAAGGGGGAAAATATGTAAGAAATTCCGATATTATATCACAAATAGTACTTGATGTTAGATCTGCAGTAAATATAAAGAATTAGGTCTAAGATCCCACTAATAGTTCCACTTCCAGTTCAGCTGATGACAAATTGATCAGACTAGTTATTCTTGTTCTTTATGAAGTCCACCTGCTGTGTGCGGATTGTAAAAAGCGTGGATTGGAAAAGGAAGGAGGGGGAGTTTGAAATCTTTATGATGATAATTAAGGTGGGGTATTAGGGTATGTCTGTATGGCTATTAGTGTAGAGCAAACTGCTGTGCAAATCTAGCCTGCCCACTCACTGGCCATGCGGAACTGCTACCAGGTGCTAAAAGTGTTGTAATGGGCTTTGATCTATGTGGTGACATGCTACCGTAGATCAAAGCACAGGATAGCACTTTTTAGTGTGTGGTAGCAACTTGCAGCCAGTTAGTGCATGGCAGGCTAGAGCAGGATAGATTTACACCCAGCTTGCTGTGAGCTGTTTGTAGAAACAAGCCCTTGGAGACACAATGTTTTTCTTTTATTTAAAGCGGATTAAGTAAATGTAAGGAAAACTAAAATACTATGGGTGAAATCCTGGCCCCACTGAAATCAATGGGAAAACAACTATTGACTTCAGTGGGGTCAGGATTTTGCCCTATGCTCCCCAAATATAGTATACTAGTCAGAAGTATAGTTTTCATTCTCCCTTTCTCAGTCCCACTAATTGAAGTTTCTAGCACACTCTCATTGGGATCATTTCTTTAAAAAAGGCTTTGGACTCTTTTTGGGTGCAGCTGGATGAGCAAGGCAACAGAAGGTATTTTAGGAGACAGGAAGAATCACTTCCAGGAGGTGGAAGTTTTCTTATCCCCAGGGTTACGTGTACAGTAGGGGATGGAATATCTAGCTAGAATATCTATTTAGCTCCAGGCCCTACATATACCACTGGGGTATTTTGTTGTATGGGATATTTTGTTGTTGACATTTCACAATGTGATTAAATTAAATAAAATCTCTGTCATTACACATCATGGATGACTACCAGCAGAGTAGTATGGTAGCACTAATAATAATAATAATAATTAATAATTAAAAAAAGGAAGAGTGGTGGTAAAATGTTGTCAAATAGAATCCAGAGAGATTGCAGTATTATTTCTGTTACTTTAAAGATGGTTTTACCATTTGCAAATCGGGGAAAAAGGAATCACAAATTACTTTCATGAACTAAGCAACAGCTGATGGAATTGCAAGTTACGAGGAACAGCAGTGTGTAAGAATCAGCATTTAGGGCCTGGTCTATTCATCGGTCTTGGATCATAACCTTAGGGTACACAAGTAAAAGGCAGAGCAGTACAATTGAGGGGACACAATTCAATGGGTCATTCCTTTTTACAGGGTTATATGTTGAAAAAAGGTCACAGAAGGAAAAATTGGACAGAACGTTGGTTTGTGCTAAAACCAAATATTATTTCATATTACGCGAGTGAAGACTTAAAAGACAAAAAAGGAGACATCATCTTGGATGAAAACTGTTTTGTAGAGGTAAAAATAAATTCAACTCTCTAAATATAGACATTTTAAAATCATCTTTTGTGGTGGACTCCCAACAGTGTCTATTCAGTGATGGTGGGATATTCTATTTTTTTCTTTTTGCATCAGTGGGTCACTCTGTTGGGCTGTGTCTCTAGGTTTTATTTTCACAAAGATCATTTAATGAAACTATTGGAATTTGTACAAATAAGTTCATGAGTGGAAAGCAGTAACAATAAAAACGTAACTGTTTTATAATGTTTCAATTTTCCGTGAACAGCAGTTTTGCATCTCTATGTAAAATGGCATTTATATCTCAAACTATAAAATATGCAAATGAAATATTATACTGTTGTATATCTTCATAGCCTGTACACGTGACTGATTGGTGCATAGGTGGGATGCGATATGGTGTGCGATTCGGGTGTGGTATTTAGGTTCACTGGAAACTAATACTTTGTTTTCCATTCCAGTCTTTGCCTGACAAAGATGGAAAGAAATGCCTTTTTCTTATCAAATGCTTAGATAAAAGCTTTGAGATTAGTGCCTCTGATAAAAAGAAGAAGCAGGAGTGGATTCAAGGTAAAGTGTCTTAAATCTTAGTGATGATGTGCGAGTGAAGGTCCTGCTTTTGCAAAGCGCTTAAGCATGTGCTTAAGAACAAGATTTTCACGAGTGACTAGTGATTTTGGGGTGGTTCCCCTTCGAATTCCAAAATTGAGACATCTCAAAGGGGCCTGATTTTCAGAAAGATCTAAGCACCAAAACGCTGAAAAATGGGCCTCTTCAAGGTGTCAAATTGAGGCACCCAAAATCACTAGTCACTTTTGAAAATCTGTGCTGATGCGCTTTCATAAATTTTATCCTGTAGGAAGAGCTCATATGGAACTCTGCCTACCAGCAGTTCACTTTCAGTAACTGATTTGCTGCATGTTGTGGGATGGCTAACACACAATGAAAGATGATTTTTATTTGTTTACTTTTTGTTATTTCTTTCTGTTCACATACAAACTTGCTCTGTGATACAGCCACATTTTTTAGAAAGAAAAGAAATTGTTCAGTAGGTTTGATTTTTGTTTGTTTGTTGTTGGGGGTGGGGAAAGCTCGTTCATCTTAACATCTTAAAACTGGTTTTTACTTTTGAGATAATATTGTCTAGTGGACACAGCATAGGGCTGGAGACCAGGACCTCTTGTTCTCTAAATCTGGCTCTTCCACTGCAATGCTGTGTAGTGCAGAAAAGCCAATTAACATCTGTACAGCACTTTGAAAACGCAAAGTATGTTGTTCATACTTCCCTCCTAATTTACAGTATCTACTTAATTAGGCTGCACAAGGGGCGTGTGGTTAGCAGTTACACAATGCTAAAATGAGACATTTCACTCTTCTAGATAGAAAAATTATCAAAAGAGGAAATAAACTAGCACTTGACTGCTTTTCTTTCTGAGTGCTTCAGTCACTCTAAATATAAACCACTTTCTTGCTGAAAGAATTTACCTTTCTTTTACTAGTAAGATGTGCAGCCCAGATAAAATGCTGGTCCTAGGAAATGAAATGTGAGGGTACTATTTTTGAAGTTCTATCAGTCAACGTGCCCCTGAGAAACAGAGCGGTTATTATGTGGATTAGAAACACTGAGAAAATTGTCTAGGGATGTGGAGAGAAATTTGCAATTGGTTGTCATTTCCTAAGGCTTTCTCTCTTTCAATAATTTATATTCACACCATCTTAATCTTGCCAATGCACCACTAGAAATTGATGTTGGCTATGGAATAATCGGTCAGGGTATTGGAACTACTGGACATTCCTCTCTTTGGGATACAGATGATATTGCAATGTGTAGAAAGCCAGCACACTTACTTTTTTCATGTTATTAGTTAACTTAATAAGAGAGAGTGGGGATGAAGAGAGACAGCTGTGTGCGATAACAGAATAGCTGTTTCTCACCCACCCAGGCTATCCAGAGAGTCTAGCATTTCTCCTAACTGAAGTTCTCTTTTATTGTTGCTTTTCCTTTCCATCACGTGGACTCCTTTACAGCCATTCAGACCACTGTAAACCTGCTGAGGGTTGGCAGCCCTCCACCTCACAAAGAAGCGCGCCAGAAACGGAAAGAATTACGCCAGAAACTGCAAGCTGAGCAAGAGGAATTGGAGCGGCAGATGAAAGAACTCCAAATAGCCAATGAGAACAAGCAGGAGGAATTGGAGACAGTGAGAAAGGTGCGGGCAGGTTGTTTGCTTTCAAGCTTTCACATTGCACTGATCAGACCAGAATTTTGCCTAGAGAAGTCTGTTTGGTTGAGATTGAGTTTCTTGCAATATTAGTCTGTTTTACACATGCATGTGCTTTTTGTGCAGGGTCAGGACACACTGAGCTATGCTTAGCGCAGGACCCTGGGTGGGCAGAAGGGATGGGAAAAGAGGCAGGCATGCAGCTGTTCCAACCTGAAGTTACTGGCAAATGAGCTAGACCCCAGTTAAGTTAGTGCTGTCTGCAACACCTCTCTAGAGGCCGTTCTGCTGGAGGAACGGAAAGTGCTCTGGGTGTGCCCCCTACGCCAGGGAGAGAGAGAGGCATAGAGCAAGGGAAATCACCAGCTGTCCACATAGGGTAGCTTTACAGCACTTTGTGCCATGGATGCATCTCAGAGGGGCTGCACCACGGCCTGGGGATCTAGCCCCTTTAATTAGTTAACTGAAGGAGCAGGCTGGCGTTTAACAGTTTCCATTAGGGTTTTCTTAGTTTTAATGGATTACTAAAGTTACATAGGTCACAGGGACTGAGAGAGAGGAAAAAATCCTGCCCCAGCACACTTCCAACAATATGTGTAAAGTTCAATTTCCAGAGACACATTGAAATATGCTGCAGAATCCTTGTGTGTGTTTGTAATCTGATGGGAGCAGTTTTGGGCAGATTCACAGCTCAGATAAAGGTATTGACCACGTGTACTTTGCTCAAACGCATGTTTTCTCATAAAATTTGCATTGACTTTGCAGAGCAATAGATTCAGACCGCTCGAGTGCGAATATTGGGGGAAAACTTTAGAAATCAATTTATCTGAAAAGCTCTAAAGATGTTTAAAACTTGGATTAAGGAAGCTTGGCAGAAGGTTCTATGAACAGCACTGAGGAGCATTATGTATTTGCTATTAACTTGCTGATCACTGCAGATATTAGAGTTGCCTATATCTGTGTGATTGCTCCCCGGTGAGGCTTGGTGAAAGTTAAAAGATCCATTCTACCTAATTTAAGATTTATGTATCAAAAGCTCTAGCTGTTTACAAAACATTTTCTACAATGAAATTTAAGTGTTCTTGGACAAAACTTACAAACCTAGTGAACTTTCCCTTAAATATCATGGGTTATTCTTGGATTTCAACCCCACCACTTGCCATACCACATCTCAGCTGCTACCTAGAGTGCTTCCTGTCAGCAGCCGGCATCGCTTCTTTACATCCTGACCCCTGTGCTGTAAAATTGAGACAGCTGCCTTTTCCGTTTAAAAAAATAAAATAGGCCAGAGAAATATGTTCCTTCTTTTCTGAGGGAACTTCTGTCCCAAAACTACACTGGCCATTTCAGGACTAGTGATAGGGCTACAGTCTGATTATCTCATGATTCATCAGTGCTGAAAAAGGGTCTTATACTGATAGAAAGGGGAGCTTCCCGTCTTCTTAATGGGACACAGTACTTTCCTCTAGGCCTGATCAATTCAGAGACAACAGAAGACCTTAAATTCATGATGATACCATATACGTAAACTTCACTTTAGGTCATTTTCAGAGGTTTCAGAAACATCTTAGCCATAACCTTCTCTCCCTCTGAGAGCTGGCTTTCACAGGCAGAGATTAAAAAAATCAAAATATATCTAAAGTAGTTTTCTAGAAGATGCGTAGCACGTAGAGGAATGTGGGGTGTTGTATAACAGTTGTATTGGCACTCCTTTGGGAAGACCTGTATATATCAAATGAACTCACTTGTGGATTCGCAACTCATGAGTAGTTAAGCCATTCAAAACTTTCTTGGCTCTCCATCTTCTGTTCTATCCTTTTCTCCCTCTCTCCCGCTACATTGTTCCTCCATTTTCCACTTCATGCTCCTATTAACTCCTCCGCTCCCCTTGCTCATACCATCTCCAACTACATATATTTATTTGTTAGTAATTTGTGTACTGTCAGTATGTTCCATGCCATACAATGTGTGGAAGGAGACTTGGTCCTTGACCCACTGTGGTTGCAAGCTATTAAAATGACATTCTTTAGCCAAGTAATATGAAAAGCAGAACTGGTCTGCTCGTAACCTTGTCCTAAATTTCAGTTGGTTTTGTGTTTCCAGTTAGAACACGCTTGCCTCATTGCTCATGCACCTTAATAAATAGAAAATATCTGATTTATTACCTATTCTTAAGATCTTAGAGCAAGATCAGATCCAATTATAAAGTAAACTAGAGTGACTAGACGTAGACTGCAGAGAGTCACCCAGACTTTGAATCCATTACTTGTATGCAATCTGAGGCCCTGATCCTGCAAAAACATAGAGAAGTTTAAATTTAAACATGTGAGTAGTCAGTCCCATTAAGTAATGTGTTTAAAGTTAAGCTTGTCTGTGTTAGTAAAATATAATTGTTGTCAATTCTTGTGACTTTATTATAAGTCTCATATTTGGAGGTTTTTAAAGTCCCCGCTCCTGGAATCATGTGAATATTTTAGAATCTCAGCTTTTATTTAAAAAGTGAATTTCCATCTCTCATGGTTGTGGAGAGAAGCCTAAAAATGTGATCTGAGTGCATGTTATAGGCATAGAAGCTAGAAGGCAAATGAAAAGAACCCAAATATATTACTTTTAAAATCTTGTAATTCTTGTGAGCCTGATTCTTGATTTTTGAACACATCAGTTTGGTAATACTGGGATATGGGGTATTAGTTTCCTTGCCTTGCTCTGAATCTGATAATAGAAGGTCTTGTTCTGATTTGATTCCTACCCCATAATTTTAAACATGGTAATGTGCCAAAACGCAATGCCTGCCTTAGCTCATATCTAGTACTACCTACTAATATCATTTGTGTAACTTACCAGGCAGCAAAAGTCCTAGGCGTTGACTTCTGTTTGCTATAACTTGAGGAGCAGGTGCGCAAGAGGAAGAAACATGGGATTGTTCTCACAGAAGCTGTATGTTTACTGAATTGTAGCAGATTTCTGTGAATCTTGCAGCAGGGATGGCAACTGGCAAGAATGTTGAGGCAAAAAGCTCCTTTCAAATAGGTCTGGATGATTCCTTAATCTTAGAGGGTGAAAAGAGAACAATTTAGGCTAAAACATGAACTCCTGCATTTCCACTACATGAAAGTGTTGTGTATTTGGGGTAGAAGAATTAGCAGCTTTTGATCAGTTAGGAAAATACGTTTAATGGAAAAAGCTACGTAAACATTCCAGGAAACTGAATTGTGCCGGAAAGCTTGGAGCTCAGTTTGCATCAGGCTGAGAGCCAGCGTGAGTTCAGGGAGAGCTCAAGTACACTCTGGGAATGGCCTGGGCACCAGGAAAATTTTAGAAGTGTGGGTGAGTTTTGAGATTCCCCTTAATCTAATTAAAGGATGAAATTTATCCCCATAGTGAGGCCAAGCACAAGGCCTAGAACCTGTTAAGTCTGTGTTTTGGGGTCATAAGTGGGACTTAAGTGATGCAGAAGGCCAGCATGTGGTCTGGGTCACATGGCATAAGTTTCACACAGAGCACCCACCATACTTTGTTTGCCTCAGTAACTTTTCTGATATCTAACACCCTTCTATAACTTCCTCAGACCTGGGTATGTATGCATATATTCTCGGACATGAGGGACAGAAAGCTCAATGTAAAAGTATCTATCCTCAATCTATAGCAGCGGGAACAGGATCCGATCATTCAAGTGACTCGGCGTGGGTGGATCTTGTCCATCTGGAGCCCCCAAATATTGACAGGGATCCACATGGATGCAGGGCTTAGCTGGTGCAGACACTTGAAAAATTATGACCTTAGATTCCAGTTTTTATCAATCTGATTTGTATTTGGCCCCTACATTCATATTGGTGCTGCTTTATTTTCATTTAGCTTAAAAAATGGGGGGAAGTGAACAGGTAAAGTGCCCTTAAATTAGCATATCGGATTTGGATGTTTTTAAGATGTTGCTCCCATTCCCCCAGAACACTTTCAAAGATCCTGTTGTAAAACACCTACATTTGAGGTCTAAACCGAACACCAAACTTCTCTTGTGCTATTTAATACTAAAGTTATTCTCTCCCCCCCACCCCCCCTTATTGCTTCACTGCTGGTCAGCCTGATTATTTTTGTCAGTTACTTGTGTTTGTTGCTGGCTTGTAAAGAAATGAAAGCTATTTAAAACGAGCAGGTGTTTAACAAAGCAGGTGTTGGGTTAGTGAAACTGTGGGAGAGAGAGAGAGGAAGTAGAATAGCAGTTAAAATTTGGAATTTTCAAAAGGCAGTAGAAGAGGTAGGTGTCCATCTCCCATTGAAAGGTGATGGGGCCCTGTAATGGGGCGACGACTCACCGCTGCGGCGCCTCCTGATGGTCGTCCAGGGAATTAGCTCTTTCCACTCAGGTGCCGCTGGCCCCGGTGTCCCTCCCTGACCCCGGTACTCCTTACCTCCCTGGGGAACCCCCAACCAGCTATCCCCACCTTGCCTAAATCTTTGGCCTACAGCCTGGGGGTTTTCCAGGCTGAAGTTCCCTAGCTCCTCTGGCCTTCCCCCAGCCCTGCTCCACTCTAGGTACTCTGTTCAGCTCCCTAGCAGCCAGGCCCATCCTTCTCAACAGCTAGAGAGAGACTCTCTAGCTTCTGGCCCACAGCCCTCTTATAAGGGCCAGTTGGGCCCTGATTAAGCCAGCCACACTTCCAGGGCCGGAGCGGGGTGATCACCCCTCTACAGGCCCTAACTCCCTTCGGCACATTTGAATATCCCAGCCTAAAATGTCATTAAAATATTCTTACTTTGATAAGATGCTGGTGTCTCAAGATACAGATGGGTTTCCAGACAGGGGTAACGTGTGAATTAGCTCATTTGAAGGAATTATTATTTTTGGAATTATTTTTGCTTTTAAAAGAAATGGTGCGAAATTCCTGACTATTGCTTGTCCAGCACTGTCGGAGCATTTTACAAACACTAATTCACGCACAAACCTTGTGAAGAGATTATCATCCACCTTTGTGGAACAGAGGTGCAGAGAGGTGAAGAGACTTGCCAAAGGCCGTAGAGGGTGGTAGGGTCAGACTTGGCACTCGATTCTAATGTCTTTTGTCTCTCAGTCCTTTGCTCTGACCATGTCTCACTATTACCTTTTCCTTTATAATTTCAAGTGATGGTTATTGGCTCCATTCTTATAAACCCTGTATGATATAATCATGTGGATGTTAATGGGACACAGTCAAATTGCATCAATCATTTTCATTTTTTTGCTGTTCTACTCCATTATGTTTAATAATCTCATAGAAAAAATCATTTTCTTCTTATCCTCTGAGACAACTTTGGCTTTGTCAGGTGCTGTGTGGAAATCCTCAGGCCCTTAGAGCTCCTCCCTCGAAGCATCCACTTCCTCCTGCCCTGCACAAAGTCTGTGACCTCCTGTCCTCTTCCTCTATGCATGGGTATTAGCAGCAGCCCGGAGGAACTGTCCTCCCAGCCTCCTGACATAATCATTCACTCAACTCTGAAATCTAGATTTTGGATTTTTCCTTCTCATTTGCTCTGTTGTCACTGACTTTTGGTCCCTTTCATCCCTCCCACAGGTCAAATTGCAGGGCAAATTCATTCAGTTATATAGAATTTTAGATCAAGATGGTATTTTGGGGAATGCATACAGGCCCAAAGATGAGACTCTGCTTCTCAGTCAGTTTTTAATGATTGGAAAACCGATTATAAAACAGATATCCCTGTTAATATCTGTAAAATCACAAGCATTGTGTTGTGCTCCTGTTGTCCACTCACTCACTGCTGGCTGTTGTTCAGTCCCCACACGTGCACTCGCTATTGCAGGAATCTGCATCGTTTTGCCCAGAGCTGGGGAGAAAATGTGTTTCCCACCCGGTGAGAATTTTCAAGACTTCATTTTAGGACAAAAAAACCTCACCTTTTCATGCCAACAGTCTTGGTGCTGATGAATTTACAAAAATAATTAATTTGAAAATATTCCCGACCAACTGTAGTGCCACCCACCATTTTTTCAGTGAGCTGTCCATTTGTATGAATGGGAGCTGAGAACGTTGTTTCCATCTAGTACATGAGACTGGATGGGAGGAAGTTTCATGGATGGTAACAGGTACACAGACTGACTGAAGGTAGGGTGACCAGATGTCACAATTTTATAGGGACAGTCCCAATATTTGGGGCTTTGTCTTATATAGGGACCTATTACTCCCCCACCCCCATCCCTATTTTTCACACTTGCTATCTGGTCACTCTAACTGAAGGTCATTGAACCATTTCTGGTCAGCCTTTGGTTAGCATGTAATCCATGCAGGTGTGAGATAACTGTCTCTCACACTCTTTTACATGGTGTTTTTCTTTGCACAGCAACTGGAAGAAGCAGCTGCTCGAGCCGCAGTAGAAGAGAAGAAACGTCTTCAGACTCAAATGGAACTGCAAGACCGATTCAGTGTGGAGCTAGCGAGAGAGAAAATGGTGAGTGCTCAGATAGCCAAAAACATTTTGAATTTCCTCAGTGAACTGTGTTTCCACCATGACAATCATAGGCTTTTGCTGAATGGATTCCAAACAGGTTTTGAATGGTGGCATACCAGAATAGATGTACTGTATGCTTATTTGCGGTGCATTCATTTTGAGTAATCATACACAGATTGATGATGTTTGTACAATTCTGGGGCAACGTGAATTGTAGTAGTTGAGTGCAAAGTGTGTTTCTTTGCTTTAAATTGTCAGTTCTATTCTTAATTCCTAATAATTTTATTAAAATTGAATTTTAAGAGCTTTGTGTGTGCATAGATTATAAAGATGATCGTGCTTACCACTTATGTTGTAATTTTAGCTGTAAATCTCAAAATCTTAAAGATGAGGAACCCATGGCTGACCGAGGTTCCTTGTTAAAGGTCACAAAAATGAATCACTGGCAAAGTTAGTACAGAACCCAGCTTTCCTGGTTCCCATGCTGCTTTCCTTAAAATACATCTGCTATCCCTAAAGCCCTTATTATTATATAGCACATATCTACCTATTAAACTTCAGAAGCATCTTGTCTTACATCGCAGCCTTGTAATGCTGACTTGCAATTAGTAAATCAGATCCCAGGATGAATTTTATCATAATTTTTCATCTGGGCTTTGTCTTGAATAAAATGGTATATTACTAAAGTTATCTACTGAAAATAAAGGATACGTGTTGATTGTCACTCAGATACTTCATTGCATAAAATCTTGGGACATAAAGTTACTGTGCTAATCCAGTTGGGATGGCTGTGCATGTGGGAGGGGGTGGGTTCTGTTTTGGAAAATGATCTTGTTTGCTGGAGCAACAGAGGCTTGAGATAGTTGTGGAAGCAGAATGCTTAATAGCTGCAGGAGAGGAAATGCCTTTATGGCAGGGGTTCTCAGACTTTTGTAGTGCTGACCCCTTTCACACAGCAAGCCTCTGAGTGCGACCCCCCCTTATACATTAAAAACACTTTTTTATATATTTAACACCATTGTTAATGCTGGAGGCCAAGCGGGGTTTGGGGTGGAGGCTGACAACTTGCGACCCCCTATGTAATAACCTCACGACCCCCTGAGGGGTCCCGACCCCCAGTTTGAGAACCCCTGCTTTATGGTACTCAAAAGCAAGCCCTCCTAGCTGTTTAAGGAATGACCATAATGAGCATTGAAGCATGTCCTACCTGGTCTTCAACAATGAGATTCAGGGTCATGATTTGTTGAGTAAGATATAATAGCTAAGTTTCAAACAGTGACTGGAGGGAAACTTAGATATTTGTCTCCTGATTTACCTTCATCGCTCTCTTCCCTCAGCCTTTCACCTTGCCAAAGGTGTGAGACAGCCTTCTACAACTGGTACTTTCTTCTTCCCAGTCAGTCCAATGGCCATTGCTTCCAGCTCTGCGTGACGCATGGTGAGAATGGGGAGCCCAGCAGAGGAACAGCTGTACAGCAGTTCTGTCAATTCTGCTTGGTTCCCTGCTCTGGCCATGTGTTAAAAGAAGGACTGAGAGATTTGAAGGAGAGGAGGTGTAGCGCATTCCCATTCATCTGGCATGGCTGGAAGAGTGGCAGGAGAGTTGTTTTCTTTGTCTCTCTCCTTGATTTCCATAGTTCTTCTGCTTTCTTTGCTTTCTCTTTCCAAAGCCAACACCCTTTGCTGTGGCTTTCTCTCTGCTTTTCCAGCCCCACATCTGCCCCCATATCCACAACTGCTACTCCGCCACTATTCATTGGCTACCATACTGGACTTCACAGTGTGAAATTTACTAAGGGGTTGTCTACACACTGCTGTTGAACCAATTTAAACTTGTATGTGGACTCTTTTGTCTGTATAATACTGGTTCCAGCCGTTTAGCTTGTGCCTATAACTTGCCTGACCTGAGCCAGGTTTAAACCACTCTAAGAGCATCCCCACAAAGTTGTACCAATTTAATTAAGTAAATATGAAACCACACAGTTAGTTATAAAGCTACAACTCTGTGTGTAGACCAGGCCTAAGTTTAACTACAACGTCCTGCTGTGTGGACAGCACAGAGGGTAGAGAAGTTAAGCATCTTGGGAAGAGTACAAGCAGAGGAGCAGGGGAAGTGAGCTGCATGTGAGAATCCTGTCTGAGGTGGGAAACTTGGCAAGTAGAGTGGAAAGGTTCTCTCTCTGAAAATTGGATATCCTTGAGGGCTCCATCCTGGGCAAAGAAAAGCCCACTACTGTCATGGGGATGCCGAGCTAAGGTGTGTCTTCACTTTATGTTATCAGGTAAGACAGCAAATGGAAGAGCAGGTTGCTCAGAAATCGTCTGAACTTAAACAGTATTTGCAGAGAGTATGTGAACTCGAAGAAATGTATAAAAAGCTACAGGAAGCCTTGGAGGATGAGAAACAAGCACGTCAAGATGAAGAGACCGTAAGGAAACTTCAAGCCAGGTGTGGTTTTTAATCTTATGGAAGTAAATCGATAAAACCATCCCTGACAGGCATGGTCTAGGTTTACTTTGTCCTGCCTCAGTGCAGGGGACTGGACTTGATGACCTCCCGAGGTCCCTTCCCACCCTGCATTTCTCTGATTCTAGGATATCGGAGAGGAGATTTAGGGGTGAAGTGAGGGACTGAGGTGCTGCTATTCACTGGGTTCTCTCAGATACTATAAGGTTGAGGAACTTACAAATACATAGTAGTGATTAATAATCACAGTGATCTTTAATAAGATATCAAAGCTGAATGTAGTAGACACATTGGGGGTACAGAATAGATTTGGATGTTTGAGTATTGGACACTTGTCTCTAAGGCCTAAACGTTCAAAAGTGACTAATGCTTTTGGCTGTCTGTTTTTGGGTTCCCAACATGACACCGTAAAGAGGCCTGATTTTCAGGTGTGTGCTCTACACTTTCAGAAAATCAGACACCTTTTAGTGTGTGTCAAATTTGGCACCAACAATGTCAAGTCACTTCTGAAAATGGAGGCCTACATGTGTACTATTTGGCTATTACATGTTTTCACAAAGCAATAATTATTCCAATTTTCATATCAGCTTGTATTTTATCCCAAATTAATTTCATACTGATAATGGGCTGCACTTTCATTTTCTACTGTGGATTTCAATCCTCCCTGCTAGTGACAACTTTATGTGCCTATTTTTCATTTGGTTTCTCAGTGTTGGGCAGTTGCACTACAGGCTGAAATAACTCCCTGAACTGCACTTTTTGTGATTGCGTTGTTTGTGCTCTTGAGTGACAGGTATGGGTTCCAATGTTGTTTAAACTCCTCCTTTTCCCATACTTTCCAAGTTAATCATCAGAAAGTAATTTGCTTGATCTCCTTGTTTGTTAGCACATATGTGCTAGATAATGGATTAGACATAGTTTTCAAATACCGTGCTGCAGTCATCACAATCTCCTCCTTAGGTTACTGGAGGAAGAGTCAGCAAAGAGAGCTGAACTGGAAAAATGGCACTTGCAGCAGCAGCAGACCATTCTGATGACAGAAGCAGAGAAGCAAGAGTTAGAGACCCAGAGGATCATAAAGGAACGTGCTCTTCAAGTTGCTATGCAACAGTTGGAACAGCTTGAACTAGAAAGGAAGCAGGCACTTGAACAGTATGAGGTAACTTACTCTATGCCAGCTGTGTTCCTAATATGCCTAATACTTATGCCAGGTGTTCAAAGAGAGTCAAATTAAAA